AAAGCAAAGGTATGTTGGTAATGTCCAATAGCAGTCGTATGAGGATTTTCTTCAGTCCAAGTATGGGAATTTCGAAAATTAAGAATCCCGTTTCTTGTAAAGCAAGATTCATCAGTAATCAAAATTAAGTTCAGGAAGTTAGGATCTCATGTGCATTGTCGAATTACCACTGGGAGAAAAACGTAAAGTTCGCCATACGCTGGTAGAGGAAGTATCGAAACGACGCGACAATCTTCTGGTACTAGTAGTTAGAGATAACTGAACAGCATCGAATATTTCTTCTTCAACGTTTGCAGTTCGAAAAATCTTCGGCAATATTCTTCGATTAGGAAAATTTTTCACGATATCTTCGAACAACAACAGTACCGTTTCTATGTACCTCGCCATAAGTTAAAAGCATGTCTGTTTGTTGTACAAAAGTGAATAAATTTATGGTGTCTCCCATGATAATCATAAATTGAACTGAGTCACAGTATTCACTCTCACTAAAACACACAGAACTAGACAAACAGATGAGCAACTACTGTCATTGCTTATCGTTCATTTGTTTATCAGGTGATTAAAACCTGTTATTTAGTATTAAACACTATTTAGTATTAAACACCTGTTATTTAGTATTTTTTTTTTTGGGGAGGGGAGGGGGGCTATTCCTCCTCCCCCCTATCAAAATGGAAACTGCGCCTATGACTTTTTCCCCTTATTTTCCAGTTTTAAATTCATCTTCATCAAAATAGTACTTTCTGACAATTTGCAACAAATCAAAATATCCATTTGGTACATATTCTAGGATAAAACATTTATTAAATAATATGAAGTTCGTTATCTTGCTAAAATATGTTATTATTATAAAAAAAAATATTCCAATCATTTACCTGCGATTTGGCACTTCTGAAATTATGAATTGATAAAATCTCAAATAGTCAATCTTAGCCTACCATACTTCAAAACCAGTATATTTTTAAGAACTATGCACATTAATTTTAATTATTATTGTGAATTGTGAAACTAGTCGAATTTTCACACTATTTCTCAAATGTTCTAAAGCTCTGAGCCAAATCGAACCAGCCAGCCACTTTAGATATAGAGCGGTAAAAATGGAAATGTTATGCATTTACGAAAATACTAAACAGCTAAAAGCTAAAGAATATCTGGAAAACAATGGATGGAATTTAATGAAATTGACAATTACTTACTTGCTCATTTTTTTTTTTTTTTTTTCTTAAAAACGTAACTTTCCTCTAATTTTTTTTTTAAATTTCGGATTACCAATGTAAATAAGTTAGTGCTTATGTAAGAGGAAATGGTGCCACTATTAAAGCGGATGGAATTTGATAAAATTGATACAGAATTATTTTGTCACTATTCTCCATCTTTGAGCAAAACAAACGAGCCGCATTATGACCGAATGAAATAGACATTTATAATATAAATTAAACTCGTGTGAAACCACGAGGTATAGCTTGTTAGTTAAAGAAATTGAATGAAAGTCCCCCCAAAAAAATTGTATTTAATAAAATTTATGATATCATTAGTATTAAATAAATTTTATTTCATTTACTTCGTTAATGTTCATAGTTACTAAATGGATATTAGCAAAATTATAAATTAAATAAATATTACAAAAAACAAAGACTAATATCAATCCATTTATAAAAAAATAGAATGCTCAAGTTAAGATGAAGTGTCCATTTGGCTGATGATGATGATTAAAAGTAATAAAATGAAGTGCCTCCTTAGATGTTATATTGTATGACTGACCTAATAGCTTAAATACACGAACATTACTTATCCAAACTTAAAATAAAATATCAACATTTAATTAATAAAAAAAAAATACAATTATATCCGGGTCATAGACTAGAAATTTGGGGCCGACAGAGGGCCGATCGCTGATCTAGGAGCACAAAAACAACTTTCAAATATGAGAAGAGCTCATATACGCCTAGAGAGATTTGAAAATACATCTGTATATTTAACTTATAAATGATTTATAAAAGTACATCTATTGTAGGACTATTAGTTATTAAATTGTTATTTTCCATTGTAAAGTTTACTATAATGAAATTACGAGATCTTCATTGCCTGCCATGGATAGGTCACAAATTGTCACACTAATTGTAAGTGGATAACGTTGGGATTTCACAAAGGGAAAATTCATGAAGTTATTCACTAATTTAATTGTCTAAAAGGTTACTTAAAGATTTTTTGAATAAACGGCGGATGGGTACCTAATTATTTAAATATAAGATCTTATCTAGAGTTAATAATCTATAGTAAATATATTTGAGGTTATAAATATATCCATGAAATATTTTTATATTTCACTTCTTCTTTCACAGAAGCACAATTAAAAAGTATTTTAAATAATGACATTGACATTCGGTGGATTTTAAATACTTTATTTCAAATTAGAAAAAAATTTAAAGTTTACATTTAGTTATAAAAGTTCATTTGAAACATGTGATTTACGTTAAACAATGTTAGTTTTCTTAAATTTCGTCACTCCGCTTCTCCAACGATATATTATACGTATACCTTCTGACTGATATTTCCGGAGATTCATTTTCAACCTGGATAAGCATTTTTCTTTATTTCTCCAGTTTCCAATTATTCGATTGGGATAAGAACTAAATGATATTAAAGATCACTGAATGATACAATAATACACCCAGTTTAATACAAATCGTTGTAACTGTTATTGAGAAAATTGTAAAAATGTGTTTCACCGTTGATATAAAGTGGCTCTTACTTACGGTTAGCCGATCTTAAGGGAAAAGTTGCTGTAACATCTAAGACATATACCTATCTTAAATACGTAATATCAGTTTCGTACGACTTTTCGTTTTTGAGCTACTGTTCACACACACACAGACGCACGCACACACAAACACACACACACACACACACACACACACACACACACACAACACAGAGACCTTTTTGCTGGACTTGGTTATTTGGACTCGGGGAACCTCAAAACATGTATTTCCGTTGAAAACTCAGATTCGAAAATTTTCATGATCGCAATACTTACTCTTACTACATATTTCATATATAGATAAATGAAAATACGATAAGAAATAGTTTTTATTATGTTTGTATTACTGTTACATTAATGATGTACTTTGTATTTTTTAATTTTATCCTGTCATCCTGTAGATGGCCAACTTCCTTGGGTCTAAATGTCGGCATACTTAATAATCATCATTAATGACTGCATTTTCTGACTACTTTTCGTCCTTTAATTTTAACAGTCAACTATATCTCCAATCTAAAAATTTTACTTTGATACCGATGTACAATATAGGCACAGATACACTTATTTCTGTATATTAGGTAAATGAGATGTGTGATGATCCCTGGAGCTTTACCAGAGTCCTTCAGAGAATCCAACCCTTACAGATGAAAGGTGATGAAAACCAACCATCAAACCATCCGAAAGGAAAAAAATTGTGTCAGACATTTTGAAGAGCGTCTTTACTACAATTGTTATCTATAAAGGAATTATAGAGAGTCAGGTATGCGTCTCGGTTCTAGCTTCGGAACTTCACACTGAGACAGAGAACCAGGCTGGTGTAGATTCAAAGGACGGCTCTGCTTCGCATCGCTAGACGTCCTCCTGTGAGAATATGAGACCAAGTATGCTAACAAGCGGGAAGGCTCAACCAGACTTCCGGAGAACCTGTGGATGAGGATTGTTGGAAACCCAAGCAAATGGAAGAAAATGATCCGGCAGGATGCAATTGAGGAACAGAGCCGGCGGTGGGCGACGATCCCCAGTAAATATTTCTTAACCATCCAATCTCGGCTAAAAGCATCATGGGTCCTCCGGGGCTATTGGGCTTCAAAATTCCTCACGGAGTATGTTGATTTTCGAGCCAAGGAATACAACCAGGATATAAATACTCAATGCCTCACTTGTGGTGTTCCAGAGACTGTTGAGCATGTGATCACGACCTGCGATGGATTAAGGGCCACATTACCAACCACGAGAATTCACTTTATTACTGAGGAGGAATTTTCTCGGTTGGTGGGTGAGGAGAACGTCCCGTGGTTCAAGGTTTCATTCATGTACGGAAGACTATCGGGGTGCAGCCCACATTAACATTGGAGCCTGATAAAGAAGAGGACCAGCGCCAGAAGATCGCTGGATTCCGAAATCTCAAGATAAGGTGTGGAATATAATTATGGAGAAGAAAGTGATGTGCATTGTGTTAAATGTAAAACTTGCTGAAGAGGGTTATTGCGCAGTTATGCATGAAATTCCACTTAAGAAAAACAACGATATTGTCCATAAGACAGTGAAGGGTGGAAAATGAAAAAAAAAAATTATAATAATTTTGTAAGAACTTTCAAGAAAGATTTTCTTGCCTACCTAAGCATTTTTGGGCTTATGCTTGTCCTTTTTTTGCTCAACAGTAGAAAATAAAAATCCTTTTAAATCGACAATTCATTCTTATTTCACAAGCTTCTGGAAACATTAAACATGATTTTCACATTGATTAAAATATGACTGACAACACTGCAGTCGATTTTATTAAAAATAAGAAGGGCACAGTATGTTTAAGAATAAAAAGTGAATTTAAAAAAAAAAACATAGATAAGAGATCAACTCTAGGAGTCTTTGAGAAAAAATATTCTCTGGCTATTATTTTTCAAGCCTGTCTCACAGTTTTTATTTATTTTTAAAGCTGACTACTGTACCAGAGATCTGCTATAATTTAAGAGCTATACTCTTGGCTGGAATCATCTTTAAATCTGCAGTGCATTTCTACTTAGTCTGAATTGGATTCTTAAATCCTAAGAGCACACTGAATGTTTAAAATTATCTTGAATTCAGTTCGCAATTAGTAGTCCACTGAATAAAAATCATTATTTTTATTTCTACTGATCTTTTTTTTATTTTCCATTATAATTATGATATTAGATTTATGTTTTTAAATTATTTTTATAGTTTTAACATATTGTGTACTTAATTGATGAATTATTTAATGCTGAAGAAGAATTTAAAAGGAAGAAAGAAAGAAAAATAATGTGCTGCATACATTTATTCAATGCTTTGTTTCACGTTACATAAATGACTACCAAACACCAATGATATGCTACAAAACACCACCATCTAGTAATACATTGTAAATGTCATCAGTCGTTTTCGTGCAGATGCAAGATGAAAATTAAAAGTAGTAAGTAAATAAGCCAGTTCTGAGGCACTAAAATAGCTTTATTTGGTAACAACAAGATCACATTTTAGTCTTAAGAAACTAAAATTCATAACATTTATTATAAAAACAAAAGATTATACAAAAATAAATTATAATTTACAATCAATATAAAATATTTGATAATAAATATTGATACATTAATAAAAAAAAAAACATTATTTAATAAAAACTGAATATATTAACTTTAAATAGAATAAAATTATTTTAACAATAATATTCCAAAGGAACATTTCCAACAATTACCTGTTAATGAAAGTATTCTTCTTGAATATTACAAAACATATTTTGAATGCACTAATATTTAAAAAATAATTCCAATTTGATTCCGTTCAACGATGCAACTTCGCTGCTATAGTGCTTCATCATATATATTCTATGATACTCAATAAACTTCCAACAGGAAAGCTATAATATATAACACTTATTAAGCAGTATTTGTGCTGTCACTACTACAATGTCTTTAGAAACTCAAAAATAATATTGCTAAACCATTTATAGGGAGACGACCAATGACAGTTACCAACAGAAACCAATCTTAATTTGCTAATACCAATGGACAGTTGGGCATTTTACAATAAAAACTGTCCTGATTACATACATCAAATGGTTTCCAGCAGTACTTGCATGGTTTAGCATGTTGAAGACCCATTTCATGCCATACTTCAGTAAAATCGTCAACAAATGCATTCATCATAGGTACAGTATGGAATGGTGTAGGGGCCAGTCTAAGTTTTTCTTCACCTTTTGGAACGGTAGGATAGTTTATAGCTTGGATATAATGACCTTTCTTTTTAAGGAGCTCATCAGATATTTTAGAGCACACATAAGGGTCACCGATCCGAATAGGAATGATATGAGATGGAGTTGGTTCTACTGGAAAGCCCCGCTCAATTAAGAGATTTTTTAAATATGCAACATTTTCCTGATGAATTTTTCTAAGCTGTTTTCCTTCTTCCGAGGAAAGAATTTTAATGGATTGTAATGCACCAGCTAACACTGTAGGAGGAAGAGAAGTTGTAAAAATAAAACCTGCAGCATAGCTCCTAATCATATCAATCAAAATTGAGTTTGCAGCAATATAACCACCAATGTTACCAAATGCTTTACCTAATGTGCCTGATACCATATCCATCTGATCTATTACATTGTCTCGTTCTCCTACTCCAGCTCCATGTTCACCATACAATCCAACAGCATGTACTTCATCAACAAATGTCAGCGCACCATATTCATGAGAGATATCACACAACTCTTTGATTGGACAGATAGCTCCAGTCATCGAATGTACAGTTTCAAAAGCAACAATCTTTGGAGTTGATTTCGGTACTGTTTTTAAAAGCTCAAGGAGATGTGAGGGATCATTATGACGAAAAATATGTTTAGGGGCACGGCTGTTTCTAATACCTTGAATCATTGATGCATGATTACCTTCATCAGAGAAAATATGACATCCAGGTATAGATTTTCCAAGAGTAAAAAGTGTCGAATCATTGGCTACAAAACAACTTGAGAAAATTAAAGCTGATTCTTTTTTGTGAAGTTTAGCAACCTCGGCTTCCAATTTTTCATGCAATAGAGAATTCCCCGATATATTTCTAGTGCCACCGGCTCCTGCTCCGTGAAGATCTAAAGCTTTCCCAACTGCTTCCTTTACTTTTGGATGACAGGACATACCCAAATAATCATTAGCACACCATACTGTTATTGGTTTTTCTCCCCAAGAGCATTCAGTACCATGAGGAAAATTTAAAGCATCACGATTTACCTTCTTGAAAACTCTGTAAGAATGATCCTTCTTTTTTTTCATTATTTGTCGATGGAAAAAGTTGTCATAGGAAAATGTCTCAGACTTTTCATCCTTGGTTTCTGTTGATGGTTTCATGTTTGACAAGTCCATAACATCTTCCTGACTTTCTTGACTGGCCTGCTTGATAAGTTCTTGTTTTTTAATAGAAGATAGGAATGGACATTTAGAAATCTCTCCAGTAAGTGTACTATGCCTTAGAGTTGATTGAACAAAAGAGCTATTAACTATCGGACAATTCTGACCAAAATTCTTAAGTAAATGAGGCCAATAATGTTTAACATATGATTGTGGTAATTTGTTAAGAAATGGGCAACTCATCGTTCCTAGACTTGACAACCGACTGCAACTACCTGGACTAACCCTCTCCTTCCTACCTCACTTTCACTACTGGTTATCAACTTCTAACCTTGGCTTTTATAAGGAGGGGGGCAGGCCATTAATGATTGACTAGTGGATAACAAATTACTCACACTACGTTTAGTACCATTGGTTAATGTTAAGGTTAATAGTTCTATTTTGGATATTGTACTTTTCAAACATTGCATAAATTACGAACTTTTAAAAATTAGCTATATTTCTGCTGCAGAGTTTTAGAAGAAAGTAATTTACTTCAGTTGTTTCACTTTAACTGTTAAATGTTAATTATAAAATATTTTTTCAAATTTGAAACCTTTTTATGGTTTCACGATTAATTTTTTTATATGATCGACGGAAATTAATAATTTGGTAAAATTTATTTCGGATATCTGTCAATTTTTATACGTCTGCAAAAATATGCATTCATATTTACTGAGTTTTATTTGATTTATTTAAAATGAAATTGTAAGTAATCGATATATATAATCGATCTTAAGAGAGTGGTTGTACTTTTATATATTAATTTATATTTTTTCATTATGGGTGTTTGAAGTGTAGGTGTAAGCTTTAGATATATATACTAAATTAAATTACTTTAAAAAGTATATTAGTTATTACCTAATAATTTAATTTATTCTATTTATTCAATATACATTTTTTGATGAATAAATAAAATATCGCAGAGGCGGTGGATTGTAAAAAGTTGGCGTGGAACACCAAGGTTGTCCATTCTTCTTCGGGCAGCGTTCGGGATGGTAAGTAGCTATTTCTATCCATTTCTATCTTTCATTTTTTCATACATCCTATTTAATGATTATATTCTGAATGATATTCAACTCTTATTGAATACAGCATTCTAGTGAAAACATTTATATGGTTTTTAATTTAATTGCAGTTCTAATAACAAATTGTCTTACCACGTGCGTTAACTAACCAGTCCTTATGGCTAACTTCGTTAAGTTCTGGAATATGTTTACAAATAGTGTTACTTAAATATGCATCAACTACTTATTTAATATTCTGCGTTTTTTCCATCATATATCTTCATTTGTATTAATTGATGTTTTTTGGCGTTAAGTTGAAATCTAGTCCCTTCAGCTTTTAACTTTGTTTAGTTAATAAACCCTTTTCAAATTAATAAGATATCTTAATCACTTATTATGTTTTAGTTATTTCCCTTATAGTATATTAAATGGCAATTGATTAAGTTTTTTTTTGTACCATGTTAAAGGTGGTTCAATTTTAGGTAGTAGGAGACAAGTTTATTAAATAATTAATGTCATGGCTCTGAAATTTGACCTGTTCAGTTACCATGCTCCTTTTAAATTTATATGCTCCATTTGTAAATCTTTGATTTACAGTTCCAGTATAATAAAAATATTTTCATATTTCTTCTAATTTGTGTGATGCATTTGTCTGAATCTTCAATTTGTTGCTCTTATAAATATTGTAAACAATTCAAGCTATAGTATACCACAATATGATTTTAGTATTATTGAGCTATAATTTAACTATCACATTGTTCAATTTTACCCATTTAAGAAGGATTCACTAGGGTGTTTTCATATTCCGCTGTTATGGAAAGGCTACTGGGATTGAATACTTCAATTACCCAAAAGAGTGTTATAATATCCCCACTAAATAAATTTACTATTTACAGAAGTGTCTACCTTTTTGTTGGTAATTCAATCGAATATCGTTTTTAAAATCAATTATTACTATATTAATAATTGGTGGGTGGTTTTTAAGATCAGCTTGAGCGCGATATTCCCAATGAATGTTAAAAGTAGTAGTGTATGGAAGGGAAGTAAGATTTATATCCTACAGAGCAGACTGTACACAATTGTTAAAATCTTGTTGTATTTCATATTAAGTCAATATAGCTTGTTTCCCAACTAAATGATTTAAGTTTATATTCTCATTAGTAAATACTGTGAAACAAAGCTGAAGACCCCCTTCCGAAATTTTTAGTACCACCGTTAAACAGTGCACTCATTAATGCTGCTTTTTCCCCAAGCTCGATTGACGTTGCTTGCCATCTGTGCCCCTTATTTTGTTTAAACTCCTAAAACAAAATTATACGAAAATCAATTTTTCACATAGTAAAGACTGAATTATTTCTAAGCAATGATGAACTACAGGATAAAACCTAATATTCTGCATTTTTTTCTTTTCTGGGCAACCCTGTATTTCTTACTACCTAAATGTATAAGTATCCCATAGTTTAAGGAGAGACATTTAACAAAAATTGCTATTTATTTCTAATACTGGACATTTTTAGGTTGTAAGTTCTGATCGTTCTTTTAAAATAATACCAGATCTCAATGACTAGAGATTTTTAAAGGTTTCTCTTCCTTCAATTAGTTGACTTGTGATAAAATTTTGGATACCCTCTGCTCCTTGAATTCCCCTAAGTTTAATCACACTTTAACTAAATTCATAGTTATTATTTTACGGTATTATTTTTATTGTAGATATTAATTATGGTTGTTTCTTAGTTTGTTTGTAATTATCTCTAGTTATTCTAATAAGTTTTCCATATTTTTAGTCTCACAGGAAATTCAGTGCCCCTCGCCATGGGTCTATGGGCTTCTACCCTAAAAAGAGGTCAGCTCGCCACCGTGGTAAGGTTAAGGCATTCCCAAAGGATGATCCTTCAAAACCTGTGCATTTGACTGCATTCGTCGCTTACAAGGCTGGTATGACTCATGTTGTAAGAGAAGCAGATCGACCTGGGTCAAGTAAGTTTTTTTAAAATTCATTTAGAAGAGTTATGAACTTAATAGAAAGTTATAAATTAAATGCCTTTTCAATGATGATTCTAATTTCAAATGTTTATGGTTATTCCTGATGAATATTGATGAACACTAGGGCGGTCTGAGACTAGGCATTTAAGTTTCTTTATACATTTCTAAAATCATGATTTTTATTTTTAATTCCTTGTTTTAAAATTAAAAATGTTTAAGTTATACATCTTTTCATTTCTCAAGATTTTCAATTATATGTTTATTGGTGCAAAAGTCGATTACGCAGTAACATTTTATAAGAACTGGTGATTGTAAAGGAACTTATTTTTTTTTTATTTATTTATTTTTTTCCTTTATTTATGGACATAATAGCCAATGTACCAATTCATATATAAGGATGCTCCTCAACAGTTTATTTTATTCAGTTATAAGGCATGCATAATTTTTGGTCTGATTATAATAAGGATAGTAGAAATAGTTAAAGGGAGAGGGTTGTATTATACGTACAAAACAAAAACAATACACTAATATTCTCTGAAAATGTAAATATTTGGTTACAATATTAGATAAGCTAGTTAAAATAATTAACTTAGACATATTAAGATTAATTAATATTGGTGTCACAGATGCTGTTAATCAGTGTTCAACTTATTGAAGTTAACAATGGTCAGTGCGACTGGTACTGAGCCATTAGTTGATTTGTTTTTAATGTAGGAATTTTTATAAACAAAAAAGCAGAATAATTGGCATTGTATATGTTCTATATCCACGAATGGTAATCAATTAATTTAAATATAAAAATAAAGTTTGAAACTATTTAGAGTAGGGATTTTGGGGTGATAAATTGCAGGATTATTATGCCCTTAATAAAACACATTTAGTTTAGAACTTATTAACAATAAGGATCAATTCTCCCAATGTCCTTAAATAACCATTTTTATTTTTTACTTGAATTGAGTTTCTTCCTCGTTATAGATGTTTAAAATTAGTAAAAGTATTCAAGTTTATATTGTAATATTAATTAAAATACTAGTATTCTTGGTGATAATTCTGTAATTACCTTTTTTTTAATAATCATAAATATTTATATTATATTATATTTGTGGTAATTAATACAATAGATTTTTACTATTATTAATATTGCTGAGAGATGTTTTATAGTTTCACTGTTAATTATTTATTTGTTTGCTTTTAGAAATAAACAAAAAGGAAATTGTAGAAGGTGTAACAATTTTGGAAGCTCCTCCAATGGTCGTCATTGGTGCAGTTGGTTATATTGAAACACCTCGTGGCTTACGTGGTCTTGTTACTGTGTGGGCTGAACATATTGCAGATGAGGCAAGGAGGAGATTTTACAAGAACTGGTACTTATTTAATAATTTTTTTAGTTTAAATGATATATTGTTTTCTCCCACAAAAATGTCTTCAATGATGATTGCATATTATGTTTATGGTTACTTCTGAAGTTTCTTTGATGACCCCTAGGGCGGTCTGAGTTGAACATTTTCATTCATTTTGCAAAACTAATATTTTTTTCTTAATGGCCAGTTTGTTTAAAGTTTAACTTTTTTACATAAGTGGTGTGTTTAGTTAAAATGATAATTATTTTATGCTTGCCAAAGTTCAAGGCCTAGACTCTCGAAAGATTTCCATAAGATGGATTTTTTATTTTAAATCATTTCGAAAATTATTATTATTACTGTATATGTCCTGGATAGATGATGGGAATAAATAAGTTAGGCTTCTTACATTTACTTCTTCCTGCTCTATTTATATTACCTGTATTATTAAATACATCCACATAGCCCTCCTCTGTTAAATACAAGAGGGTGGAGGTGTATTGTTGCTCTCCTCTCAGCTATTTACTGATGAGGGCCCGCCTCCTTTTTTTTATGATCTAGGTACAAATCAAAGAAGAAGGCATTTGTAAAAGCTAGTAAAAAATGGAGTGATCCTCTTGGCAAGAAGCAGATTGAAGAAGACTTCAAGAAGATGATTAAGTACTGCAAGGTCATCCGTGTTATTGCTCATACCCAGGTATGTTCCGATACCTTGTCTTTTAGTAGTTAATTAGGTCAATTTTTTTTTTTTAACTTCGCATAAATTAATGTACATGGTTTTTAACAGTGATGAGAAATATCAAGCATATAAAATTTGTGATGCCATGGTTTACTGAGCCTGAGTTAAGACCATGAACTTTAATTGCTCATCTTATTTTGATTATAGAGTGATCCTCTTTAAATAACAACTTATGTATATTATCTATTCTATTTTATATAGTAATTAAGTTTGTAATTGATAATACTTTCATCTAAAAGTTTAATCCTATTAAATAATAAATATGTGAAATGGATATTAAATAGTGGCATTTTTAGATATGTAGTATCAATGCTGTTCATCCAATTTTTAAGTTCATTTTTGCTTATAGGTTACTTCTATGTTTTAAATATTTTTCTAATACTTTTTCAGATGAAACTGTTAAAACAAAGGCAAAAGAAGGCTCACATTATGGAAATCCAAGTAAACGGTGGAACAATAGCTGATAAAGTAGCTTGGGTCAAGGAACATTTAGAAAAACCAGTTCCTGTTTCTGGAGTTTTTGCTCAGGATGAAATGATTGATGTGATTGGAGTAACCAAAGGAAAAGGATTTAAAGGTAGGCTTTATTTTATTCCCTCATCTTATAGTCATTTTTTCTTAATAAATTCCAGATTTTATTGTAGGGCTTTCAAAATTTTTTAGTTCCAATAAGTCATTTAAGTTTTTATTGTTATAATTCCTGTTCATAACAGCAAGAGAAACATATTGACTTAAATTAATTAGATGGATCTTTTATTATATTATTTGTTTTTCACTAGCCATATGTGTATTCATGATGAAAATTATATGATGTGCTAATCCTAACCATATTGAGGATTTTAATTTCTGCTGCTTTCCTTCTGAGATACACATAAAAAATATCCAAGATTCTTATAGACTTTTCCATTTCTTAAGATTAATAACTTTTATATTTGTTATTTAAGGTGTTACATCTCGTTGGCATACCAAGAAACTTCCTCGTAAAACACATAAAGGTTTAAGGAAAGTAGCTTGTATCGGTGCTTGGCATCCTTCAAGAGTACAGTTCACAGTTGCCAGAGCTGGTCAGAAGGGTTACCATCACAGAACTGAAATCAACAAGAAAATCTACAGAATTGGACAAGGAATCCATACTAAAGATGGAAAGGTAAAGAATATTATATATCACTGGTCATGACAATTTAGTGGACGATCTTATCATTTTATCATTATTTAGTGGATGTTTAATCAAAGTTTATTTTTAGGTCATCAAGAACAACGCATCAACTGAATATGATTTGTCTGACAAATCAATCACCCCCATGGGTGGCTTCCCTCATTATGGTGAAGTGAACAATGACTATCTTATGATCAAAGGATGTTGCATGGGTCCCAAGAAAAGAGTAATCACTCTTAGGAAGGTAAATATTTTTTTATTTATATATAAATTAGTTATTTGCCTATTTGTTTTGCCAATGATGATAAAAAATTAGCCGATAATTTTTCTGAAGCTAATATATAGCTCAAATTTGATGTTTTCAAATGATAGGCCTGAAGCAATCTTAATGTTTTAAACTTAGAATTAATTATGTATTTAATGTCTCTTATAATTAATCCTGTTATGTCTTTTCATTATGTTATTAGTCACTTCTTGTGCACACAAAGAGGGTAGCATTGGAGAAGATCAACCTGAAGTTCATTGATACATCATCCAAATTTGGACATGGTCGTTTCCAGACACCTGCGGACAAGGCTTCGTTTATGGGTGTTATGAAAAAGGACAGGTTAAAGGAAGAAGCTGCACAGACAGCTGCTGCAGCTACTACTGCATAAGTCTTTATATAATAAAAATAAATGGCTTAATGTTTTAATTTTGTTTTATCTATAAACCTTTTTCATCTTAGTTGCTGTTTACTTAAGAACGAAATATGCAGAACATGAAAATGCTTATCTGTAATAAATAGGTGGCTTATATATATTTGGTATTCAAGAAAAGTTTTAAAAAGTAAATCCTTGATCAATATATTACATAAGATACGTCAACTATTTAGCATTTGTCATAAATTCAATGCCTAATGAGCTGAACATAACTGTTCGGCCCATACATTTTTCTATTTTCCTAATCCTGAATATTTGCAGGACTCTGTTCTGAAGTTTATTCCTTAATAAGATGTATTAATCAATTTGCCTGTAACATATTCTTGCCAAATTGCACATAGCTAGATCTAAAAATTAATATATATTTTTTGGGTCCTCACCTTAAAGAATATAGGAGTTTTCCAGGGGGTGGGTTCGGGCACCAGGACTACTATTTTTAAATCCTTTCAGATCAGTTTGCAGGGCAATGGCAGTGCTGTGAACATTCTTTAGCCAGTTCAGCCACCAGCCCACCAATAATTGCTCCCTTGAATTTGAGCTAGTGTAATATGTATGTTCTTGATTTTAGTGTGAATCAATCTGTTATTCAATACACATTAAAGGTCTATAATCACAGTCCTAAATCATTACATAAATCTGCAATCATATCTGTTCAGTCCCTTTTACTCTATTATTCAACCGATTTTCTTCCTCCTTTTTTTGTTTAAATGACATTGATGAGCTTTAGTGTTATCAAAAAATAAAAATATTTAATAGTATATAAAGAATAATATAAATAATAGTTCAAAACGGCTTATCTCAGAAAGTTCTTCACTGATTTCTTTCACATTTTGACAGGACAATGTTATAAGTTTTTTTGTGTACATTTTATTATCATCGGGCATTTCCTTTCGAAATTGTGGCAGAAAAACTTGATTCTCTTTAGACTAGCGCCAATAAGGCTTCAACAATTTCAATGAAACTTGGGTAAAGTCTTCCCCTTAAAACCTATAATTATGTATATAACATACTTTCCCAAAAACAAGCTGCATACATTTCTATGATGAATTCTGTATTTTATTTGCGAGTAACTCTAAAAGTACACATTTTATTTTAAAGCTTTCTGAATTCTCTACAAAAAAAAACAATCTAAATCGTACTATTTGTTGCAGAGATATATTTTAAACATTTAGTACTTTTTCTTTCCCTTCCAATCCCTTGGTCTCATTTATTTTGTTTTTTATAAATCGAAAACTTCATTTACTGAGGTAATTGGGTCTATTATTTGAAGAGATGATATCATGATAGTGGAATGATACTTCATAAATTTGATTTAAAAATATATTCTTTGTCAATAAGGATGTTATATGTGGCTCAAAAATGAATAGGGATATTGTGAGTTATTACAATTTATTTTCCCTAGAATTTTATTTAAAATACATAAAAAATTAATACAAGTAATTTTCTAGTCACATCCTTCGGGTTTGGTGCCATTTTCTCATAATTTATCATATGTCTATTTTAGGCCATAGGTCACCAAAAAAACAAAGTTTTTTCAACGTTTCGCTTCAGGAGCCATTTTCAAGAACCTGCATAACTATTTTTTAATTTATTTTTTACCATTCAAGTACAGCCTCAGACAATAAACTTGTATCATCCACCTACCATACACCGCGCCATAAAATTTTTAAAATTTGTCATTACGATATGATTCGTCCTAATTCATTCTTTTATTTCAAAGAATGTCGTTTTCCGTTTCTAAAAATTGTAATATATAATTAATAAATTAAAAATAGACTGCTATAATTAATTTAAAATTTTTTTGATTTATATACCTCTATTTGCAGACAGTATCAAGAAAGTATTGTTCTTCAATAGGGCATTCATACAGGACTGGATTTACTTACATAAGGAGTGGGGTGGAGGGGTTAGGGATCAGCTGTTTTATATCAGTATGTTATATATTAATTTTGTCAATTGTGCTAGCATAAGACGTTTAAATTATCAACATCTGTCTGTTGATTCACTGAATGTTTTAGATTTTTAGTGATAAAAATGGATTCAATGATTCTACGTTTCCCAATATTTTGTTCTCTATGCAACACGGAAGCAGTACCGAAATCAAATTTATGTCCATTTTTTGTGGTATGCTGTTATAATCCTGTGACTAATTTTGATTTTGTCGTTTTAGACCTGCAATTTTGTCTATGTTGCTGTATCCTACGTTCAAACCATTGTGAGGTTTGTCCGTAATATGCTTTATTTTCACAATCCTCGCATCGTATTTTATAAACAATATTAGTTAGTTTTTCTTTTGGAATAATATCCTTAGTTCTTCTATATAATTTACCTAATTTATTAATAGGTTTTTTCCCACATCTGATTTCATTTATATCATATTTTTTAAAAGTTTTTTCAATTTTATCAGTTAAACCTCTAATATAAGCGACCGAAAAGTATTTTTTGGGGTTGGGGTCTGCGTTAATATTCTTATTTTTCACATTCTGACATTGTAGATCAGGATTTTCTTTGTTATGCTAATGTTTTTCAGTATTATCTACTGCTATGTTTCATAAGGGTTTTTTATTATTTTTAACGGGATGCCACTGGATAATTATTGAGGAGAATTATCCAGAATTAATTAATAAAATATTTGTTGAACAAATTATGTCATTTGACATATTGGTCCATGATTAATTTATTGGATTACTTCTCACAAAGGCTTGTGTGTTTATCTGTTCTCTAATTACCAAACATTACCTGTGCTTATAATGATATCAATAGGGGGCATGATTAAAATAACTTATGTACAAATTAAATTTACTTATAAGTGATATGAGAAAGAATTTGTATATACATTCTATTTACAAAAATTAATGAACTAAACAAGTGGTTGTGATGGCATGATTCAGATGGATGGAATTTAAAATTATATTGCCATTAAATATTTAAACATCTTTACAGGAATTATTGGGAATTACTAATATGTTATTTGAAGTGGTGTATGGCATGGCTGCATCTGCGAAGTCATGGGTAATGTTTCAGTCCTCCAGCTAGAAGAAAACATCAGGGACCTCCTCAGGGCCGGGCAGCTACATCAGACCTCTCGTATAGGTCGGACAGTCACATAAGACCTCTTCTCTATGCCAGGCAGTGCCCTGGAAGCCCAAAAAGCCCTTCTTCTATCCATCTCAGTGGGTTTTATTACCATATTTTGGGTGGGGCAAGAATTGTTCCCATTGGTTCAATTTTTGTAGCAGAAGGGATGACCACACCCCAGCGATATGTTGAACACACCCCTTTTAGCAGGTACACGACCGTTTCTTCCTATGCTTAAAGAGTTAAAAGCTTTTTGATCCTCTTTAAACATAAGACTGGTCCTTTGGTGTTTTTGGCCGACATGTGTCGTCAAGTACTTCTGTTGTTAGTGGGTGTGCTAAGAATATTCTCAAGAGTGCTAAAAGGTTACCTCAGGGGGTTATCAGGTACCCGCTCAGGTGTTAGAAATTATTTTTAAATATTATTAATTACCATTAGGCTAAGTTCAATACATAGCACTACTTTAAAATAGTTAGTGATTAGATTTGCTTTTTTATTTTTGGTCTTGTTTTGATATGTTTTTATATTGGCATTGATGTTTGGGCTCTTTATTTCTTTATAATTATCTGTTTTTTTCTCTTTTATCTTTGTGCCATAATTTATTTATCAGTCTTATGGGGTACCAATTTTGGAGTAGAATTTCATATATTTGTGTTTTTACTTCTGTAATATGTATTTCGTCTGTAATTAGTTTGGCCCTATCTATTAAATTTTTAGCAGTATTAATTTTCTGTTGTGTATTATGGTTACTATGCCAGTTTAGTATTCTATTGCTCGTAATAACTTTTTTACACCACAATGTTTTTAGTATCCCTGCTTCATTTCTATTTATATTCATGTCCAAGAATCTAATTTTATTGTTTTCTTCCACTTCATTTGTGAATTTAAGTTTATCAGACAATGAATTTAATATGTTTAAAAAAATGTTTATTTCATTTTTGTCTATAATCGTCAGGATATCGTCAACATACTTTATAAAAATCTTAGGAATTTTATTAAATTTCATTATAGCTTTATCAAACAGGCTATTTAGGTATATGCCGCTAAGATTAATCGATATAGCTCCTCCCATCGGCAGTCCGTTTCTAATTTTAAAGAAATTGCTATTGTATGTGAAGTATCCGTTGTCACAGATTAATTTTATCCCCTCCATGAACAGTGCTTTATTTTTAATTGCCGTATGGGGTTCAATTTCCTCCCAATTTGTTTCCAATATAGTTCTTTAAGGGGAATATTTGTAAACAGGGATTCCGCATCATATAACTGACTAGGGATTCATTATCTTCAATTTTGTTAACATTATTCATCTTATCTTTAACTTCCCTAGAATTTTTTATGTCATATGTATTTTTATTATTAAGACTATTTAGTGCTGGATTTAAAAATTTTGCTAGTTTTTCAGTTATCCCATTAATATTATTGACTATTGGTCTCAGTGGTGTAAAAAAGTTATTACAAGCAATAGAATACTAAACTGGCATAGTAACCATAATACACAACAGAAAATTAATACAGCTAAAAATTTAATAGATAGGGCCAAACTAATTACAGACGAAATACATATTAAAGAAGTAAAAACACAAATATATGAAATTCTACTCCAAAATTGGTACCCCATAAGACTGATAAATAAATTATGGCACAAAGATAAAAGAGAAAAAAACATAGATAATTATAAAGAAATAAAGGGTCCAAACATCAATGCCAATATAAAAACGTATCAAAACAAGACCAAAAATAAACAAGCAAATCTAATACAAACTATTTTAAAGTAGATAATACTGAAAAACATAAGCATAACAAAGAAAATCCTGATCTACAATTTCAGAATGAGAAAAATAAGAATATTAACGCAGACCCCAACCCAAAAAATACTTTTCGGTCGCTTATATTAGAGGTTTAACTGATAAAATTGAAAAAACTTTTAAAAAATATGATATAAATGAAATCAGATGTGGGAAAAAACCTATTAATAAATTAGATAAATTATATAGTAGAACTAAGGATATTATTCCAAAAGAAAAACTAACTAATATTGTTTATAAAATACGATGCGAGTATTGTGAAAATAAAGCACATTACGGACAAACCTCACAATGGTTTGAACGTAGGATACAGCAACATAGACAAATTTGCAGGTCTAAAACGACAAAATCAAAATTAGCCACAGGATTATCGCAGCATACCACAAAAAATGGACATAATTTGATTTCAGTACTGCTTCCGTGTTGCATAGAGAACAAAATATTGGGAAACGTAGAATCATTGAATCCATTTTTATCACTAAAAATCAAAAACATCCATGAATCAACAGACAGATGTTGATAATTTAAACACGTTTTATGCTAGCACAATTGACAAAATTAATACATAACATACTGATATAAAACAGCTGATCCCTAACTCCTCCACCCCACTCCTTATGTAAGTAAATCCAGTCCTGTATGAATGCCCTATTGAAGAACAATACTTTCTTGATACCGTCTGCAAATAGAGGTATATAAATCGAAAATTAAAAAAATTTTAAATTAATTATAGCAGTCTATTTTTAATTTATTAATTATATATTACAATTTTTAGAAACGGAAAACGACATTCTTTGAAATAAAAGAATGAATTAGGACTAATCATATCGTAATGATAAATTTTAAAAATTTTATGGCGCGGTGTATGGTAGGTGGATGATACAAGTTTATTGTCTACTTGAATGGTAAAAAATAAATTAAAAAATAGTTTTGCAGGTTCTTGAAAATGGCTCCTGAAGCCGAAACGTTGATTAAAACATACAAGAAATAAAAAAACTGTTTTTTTGGTGACCTATGGCTTAAAATAGACATATGATATAATACAAGTAAGATTGTATTTGACCTCAGGAAATTTTATAAAAGGTGTTTTAAAAGAATAAAACTAGAAGTTTATGTGATCTTGTTTTTATGATTGCAAATAGTAAGAATTTTGAAAAAATTTAATAATTTATATAACTTCTTCTTTTACCCACTACCTCTCTGCATTCATTGGCCATACATTTTGTAATGCCTCTAATTTCACAAGGAATTTCATTCCTTAAACATACTGCTCTCAGTTACTAAAGCTCAAAAAATCTTTAGCAAATGTGGAAAAGAAAAGGGCATTTTAATTAAATGGAGATGTCCCTATTCATTTTTGAGCAGTTAACATTAATTCAAAATGTCATCAATACTGCTTTGATTATATATTAACTATTCATTTCAGTAAATTAATCAGGTAATAAATAATATTCATTTAGGGATATAAAGAAGAACATCCTCATTAAATAACAAATTATGAAAAAGTTTATTAGCAACATAAATTATATTTACAGAAATAAAGGCTACATAATACAACACAATCACATAACTTCCTAGTAAAATGTCCTGAATTCAGAACTAAAAATGTCAGAAATCTGTTTTGATAATGCTAATTGATCCCCATGCTGTCATGTATGGGCAAGAGAATGGTGATACAGGTGCAACTGAATCGATGCGGCAATTATTTAATACAGGACAAACCCCGCAGGGGGCTGAAATGAGACCAGCGGGACCAGTCAATGCTGATATTGCTCTGTATAATCTATCACCACCAGGCTTTACTTCCGCTTCTACTTTCCCATCAAAGACAAGGGTTTCCAAAATGGTCTGGATGTCATCTTCAGATAGAGATACCTAAAAGAATTCATACACAAATAGAAAATGAAAGCTACAAATATAATAACTAACAATCCTCAATTATATTTATAAGATTTAAATAATTTTTGTATATGAACTTGAATGATTACCAATAGATTCCTTATTTTAATTCCATATTAGGCATAGAAAGTATAACATAAAGTAGTCCGGATGGGTTATATAGATAATGTGAATTCAGAGTAACAGTATCAGAGAAAGTAGTACAATCCACTGTATAATAAAGATGTATTAATATGAAATGTTAATAATTTTTCTTCTGGAGGATCCAACAATAAAATAACTATGCACATCATACTACTCTTAATTAGTGAAGTTATATAAATGCTCTTGCAATTGGCCCTAAATTGCATTTAAATGTTTTATTTTAATTAATCTTTATTCTTCACACATACTAAACTACATAAAGAAAACCACTATATTTCTTTATTCAACACCATATAATCCACTTTGAGAAAAGTGCAATAAGGAATAAAGAATATAATCTCCAACTCTCTAAGATTAATAGTAGTTCCCTCCTTTAAAACAATAAATTTCAATTTGTTCGAAATGAAAAAAAAAATAACTACTGTAAAAAAAATCTTGCCTTCATGCAAGTATATTTACATGGATGGCCATAGTCTTTGAAATGACAACTTTATACCTTCGGAAGAAAGTTTAGTAATTTTTTAATAAGTATGACATAATTATATAAACATGTGGTATTTTTTTAGTGACAGCCTATATTTGCCAGCCAAATATAGATATTTGGTGCCTCACGGGCAATGGCATCATCATTTCGCCAAAAAAATTAATTTATTTTTTAAGCTGTTTTATTTGAAGTAAGATTTGAATTTTATATTATTTCAATACATCTCTAATTCAGTTGCTTTATTAATATGCTAAGATTAATTATTCTCAAATGCTTCGTAATTTTTTTTTCCTAAAAAGTGGTAGGGGCTCCCCTCAAAGTTCATTCCCATAGACAAAAAAAAATTGAATTATCTTACCTTGCTAATCCCAAGATCACTAATAAACTTGCAAACCATTAAAGGAGTTGCAGATATCATGGCGTATAATGCAACAGGGCCTTTCTTCACTGCCACAGGGTCACTTTCATATTTTTGTTTTAGTTCTAACAAGTACCTGTTAAAATATTAGTATTACTGTTTGCTATTTTTAAAAAAGATAATAATAATAATAAGGCTTAGCGAACCCGAAGGTTCGATGCCGACACCACCAATCGCTTGTTACACACCTCCCTCCACCGTTCGCCGTCCAAACCCAGTCCCTTCAGATCGGCTTTAATGCAATCTTCCCACCTTCGCTTCGGTCTTCCCCTCGGACGCTTACCATTCGGCACAGCAAATATTAACCTTTTAGGAATTCTCTCGTTACTAAGCCCAACAACTTTACAAGCCCATTTGATTCGCCGCGATGAAATTACCTCAATTATATTACCCGGATACATCTCACGCAATTCGGCGTTGTGTAACCGTCTGAACTCTCCGGTTAACTCATCCTTCTTCGGTCCGAATATTCTACGCAATACTTTATTTTCAAAAACCTTAAGACGCTGCTCATCCCTTAATGTAAGCGGCCAAGTTTCGCATCCATAAAGAACTGTAGGCAAGATAATTGTTTTATAGATTCTAATTTTTAAGTTTCGGGACAAGAGGCGCGAACTAAGTAGTTTTGTCACAGAAAAATAACAAGCATTCCCCGCCTTCAGTCTAACCTTAATCTCTTCTTCAATTTCGTTTTTTCTAGTTATCGTAGAACCTAGATACCTAAATTTATCTACCTGTTCAAACATATTACCATCTATATCGATATCACCAGTAGTATCGCCATTTTTGCAGCTAACCATATATTTTGTTTTATCCACGTTTATTTCGAGTCCTAGTTCTTTACCGGCTTTCATTAACGTTGTCGTATTTAGTTTTATAGTTTCAACGTCTTCGCTTAACAGTACCAGATCATCAGCATAGCCCAGCACGGATGTTGTCCCGCCCAGATCCAACCCTTTCTCGGTTCGCATTACTTCCCTAATGGCATGTTCTAATGCCAAATTGAACAGGACAGGCGAAAGAGAATCCCCCTGTTTTAAGCCCGAACGAACCTCAAATTTTTCGGACAAATTATTACCGATTCTAACTTTATTGAGTGTCTCCGACAAGCACATCCTGACTAGATTTACTAGTTTTTTTGGAATCCCCTGCTCGATTAGAATATTATACAGTTTCTGGCGGTCAATAGAATCGTAAGCCTTTTTAAAATCTATATACAGCTGGTGAACAATACCGTTATACTCCAATTTTTTCTCTAATATTTGCCGTAAAGAAAATATTTGATCAATAGTCGAACGATTCCGTCTAAATCCGCATTGGTAGTCTCCGATAATTTCCTCGGCGTATTCCGTGATTCGACTGGTTAAGATTAAAGTGAATATTTTATAACATACCGGAAGCAGTGAAATTCCTCGATAGTTATTACAATCCGTCCTCGGACCCTTTTTGTGAATCGGAATAAGAATAGATTCTTTCCATTCTTCAGGTAATTTTTTGTTCACCCAGATCTTTTTAACCAACCGATGTATTTTAGAAACTCCAGCTTCTCCGCATGCCTTAATTAGTTCAGTAGGAATATTATAGATTCCCGCTGCTTTATATGATTTTAATTTTCCGATAGCTACTTCAACTTCCTCTTTACTTGGTCCTTCTATTAATGGTTCAGCACTCTGGTACTCAGAAGGATTTTTAAAAAAGATAAAAGTATAAAATCTATCATGAGATGCATTGCTTAGGATATTATCATACGAACAGAGAAATAAGAAACATTGTTTATTCTCTTATGCATTAATTGTTAGGTAAAAAATACATAAAATAAACTGATTTTATATTACATAAACATTCGCTGAACCTTCCACTTGTCCAGAGATGGGCATATTTATATTTAGAAATATAAATACTAATAAAATTTATATTGTGATACTTATGAATATATTTATATTCATGAAAAAAATATGTATACAAATGTTATGTACTCACATACATATCAAATTCACATACATTGCAAAAGTGACTACAGCTGTATTTACACTTTTAAAAGTGAATACAGCTGTATTCATGTTTATTAAAACGAATATGCTTAAATTTATAGAAGTGGATGTAAATATTTTTACACAACCTTTTGAATAAATACTCTTATTTATTAAATAAATATTAATTTCCAGTTAAATCCCATTTCACTCTGTTAGGATGCATAGTTTGATATATTCCAAAATAAATGAGTAAAAAGTATGCAAAAATTAAAATAAAGTTCTGGACAGTAACAGTGGATAACTGGACAGTGGGTTTATTGAATTGTATCAATCTCTTCAAAAATGTTGGAATAATGCTAATAAGTTGGTGTTTGCTAACTCGAAATGATGTATACATAAACGTTTAATTTTATTAAACATAAAATTACGATTAGGAATATGTTAAGATCTCAGGAAGGTCTTAGACATAGGCGAAGACTTCGGGTAGGATGGGGGAGAGACGTCATTGCCCTCCCCTCTCCCATAAAAATTGAGAGGGCATGGGAATATCGTTTCGCTCCCTCATCTCCCCACAATATTTCAATGAACAAAAATAAAATCAAAATCTATTAGTTAACAGTTAATCTACACAAATGAATAAATTATGTAAACCAAAGTCAATTAAGAAAATTGGGAAATTTGACTTGATTGCTTAGCTATGGCCTAGAAGTATATACATAACTTTTTTAGCACCAGATGAAATACCTTCAGAATTAATTAAATATGGAGGCAACAAAATGATCAAGATCCTTCAAAACTCTTTTCCAAAAGATTTGAGACCTCAAGCTGATACCACAATAATGGGAGAACTAGACATCCCTATTCACAAGAAAGGCAACCAAAGAGAATGCGCGAACTATAGGTCAATATGCCTCTCGTCAGTTGTGTACAAGATGTACACAAGAATTCTTAAACAGTGACTAAGGCAGACAGACCCAAAACCACATATTCTCATTATGGATGATTGTGGAAAAAACATCGGATCATAGTAAATTGGTGTACCTAGCACTTCTGGATCTTAGGGCCGCATTCGATTCAGTTCTGAATCAGGAGATATGGGACTCGCTAATTAGAAGAAGTGTACCTGCAAACTTGGTGAGTGCTATTAGATCTATATGCCAAGACCCAAAGGGTATAATAAGGCTCGATGGACACATATCAGAACCTTTCTACTTTTATAAAGGAGTAAAGCAAGAGGGTAGTCTTAGTCCTCTGCTTTTTATCCTCCTCATGGATGAAATTTGGAAAGTGTGTAAAAGAAGAACTCCAAGGGCTGTTGTGCCAATGACATAATCCTTATAGCGGACTCACAAGAGGCTCTACAAACATCATTAGTCGAGTAGGAAGAAGAATTGAAGCTTGGGCTGCATATAAACCCATTTAAGAGCAAGGTTATGTGCATTGCAAAAGATAATGCGGAGCCTATAATGTTAAGTAATAGTGAACCCCCCCTAGAGGTAACAAATGCATACACATATCTGGGGACAATCATCAATGAAGATGGCAAAATAGACCAGGAGGTACAAAATCAGGTGATGAAGGCCAATGGAATATAATACCAGATATCCAAAACAATCATAGGCAAACGGAAAGTAAGAAGAAAGGCAAAACTCACGATATATAAGACGGTGTTCCTCCCAGTGCTTCTGTATGGATCTGAAAGCAGGACAACCCTTGATAAATACGTAGGCAGAATCACAGCAGCGGAAATGAGAAATGACAGAATTCGTGAGGAATTGGAGGTGACATCAATTCGTGGAATCCTGGATAGCCCTGGAGCCAGGGCCCAAACATCCACCTGATCGCAGGAGAAGGTTTGATTGTAAATTACGAAAGTGTATGTTATTTTGAGTGTAAAAAACCTTGTCTGCCGTTCCGGAGCCGCTGCTTTCGAAAATGGCAGCTGATTTAAAGAATATTAGGCCAATAATTTGAGGATCGAAACGGAATATTGAATATTGAAAATCTAGCTATCTAAATATCTAAAATTCATTACCAATATCTAGCCATCGGGAGATTATCGATTTTGTTCACAGCAAGTGACCTACATTAAATTAGTTGATACTGAGTGTACACGAAATTTGATGCTCTACAACTTTGATTCTAAGGGTTTTTCCCCTTAGGGAACTTATTTTCAAGTTACAGGGCCAATTATAGTAATTTGTCCCAGTTTTTGGCAAATTTGGTAAAACTCAGAGTTGGTTGACCGTGGTTTTATACCTTACCGCGAAACCAAATTTTAAATTTTATGTACTCGTTTGACGCAAAATTTAACTTTCTTTAATTTATTAAAGAACACATTTTTCGCTTTGATGCATTGTTTAGGAGTTATAGATGAGAAACCCAAAAAATATCGAAAACATCTGACTTTTTTGGCTATAAAAAGTTTTTCCTTGGTGGCCTGCGTTAGCAATTTTGTTTTTTACATGTCTAAACCCATATATACAAGTTAAAAAAATAGGAACTTTTCTCACATTTTTCGCAATGGATTTCCCGTTTCGATCCTCAAATTATTGGCCTAATATTCTTCAAATCAGCCGCCATTTTCGAAAGCAGCGGCTCCGGAACGGCAGACAAGATTTTTTTTACTCAGAATAACATACACTTTCGTAATTTACAATCAAACCTTCGCCTGCGATCAGGTCGATTTTTGGGCCCTGGCTCCAGGGCTAGGAAGAAAAGTAGTTGAAATGGTTGGGACATCTGCATAATGGACGATGTCCGAAAGGCCAGGTGGTTTATGGAAGCCAGAAGACCTCATCGCAGGCCTAGACATATGTACCATGATTACATTGGAAAACTGGGCACAGCAAGAGGACACACTATGCCGGAGATGAGAGGACTAGCCAGGGACAGATACCAATGGGCAAGATTGGCTGGGACTGCAGCTCCACGCTTGGCGGTATAAAGGAGCTAGAGAAAGAAGAGATTTTTTTGTTGGATCCATCACCCCTTCCACCCCCCAATCAGAATAGAAAGTATGTGTCGATGATCCTAGACCTACAGGCCTTTTCGTGTACTGCTGTTTCCTTATGGGTTGCTAATGGCAATAAAGATAAGCTCTATTAAGCTCCCTCTTGGCTTAAATTAACCTTTGAATGAAGGTTATCTATGATTTGATTAAAGAAATTGCAATAAAAAGTGAACGATTAAACATTTGTTTTTCAATATTTACACACAATAATAAAGAAATAAAAGCGTGCCTCCTCGTGGTAAGGCTGAATAAACCTATACCGATAAAGGCTAGGTGTAGGGGAACTAAAACGAAACCCTCTCAGTTATATAACGTCGGAGCAAACCGACCCAAAACATGGAACAATATCATGAACAAGAGGAAGCATTAAATTCGTGAAATTCCCGTGGTCTTTAAGGCCTGTTCGTGAAAAAAAAAAATGAAACCAAATTTACAATTATAAAAAATAAAATAATAATAACTTCTATATAAATGGAAATAATAATATACTTAATATAATAATAATAAAACAATTAAGAGGTATTTAATAAAAAAAAAATAAAATAAATAATGTTAGATTACGAAAACAAAATAGAAAAATGATACGACTGGCCCAATATTAAAATCAATAATAGAGACTAAAACAAATATTAATAGCCCAATAATAAAACTTATACAAAAACAAAAAAATTATAAACTGGTATAACGTTATGTGGATGCAACCAGGTGACGTTCGTAAAGGTGGACGAACCGCTGGCATTCCAACCCTTATACAGCGACTTGATGTAGATTTATTCATAAGAGCTGTCAATCAAACTGCAAGTGGGCAGCGGCGAACACGATAAATAGAGAGAGAGAGAAGTACGTCTCCTTCAAAGGTGGTCTGCAGTGGGCAGTCCAACAGTTGGCAGCACTGTGGCTCTGTGATGGACCAAGTCAGACTGTATATTCTGAAATCCATGGGCCAAGGACTTGTTTATAGCTAGGACTACAATCCGTAACAATTTATGCATAAACTATGAACCAGTCTATCGAATATTAACAATATAAGCTCTGGGCGTATGAATATACGTAATTATTAATTGATTTCATAGTTATGAAATAAATCAAATCAATAATTAATTAAATTATTATTTAACTAAAAATTAAATAAATTATCGCTCTTGTGTTCATCATTCATTCATTTTGTTTTAATCACTATCATTCTAAAGTAAATAATGTCACATGAATTTTCGCATGGCCCTTATAGATGCAAATGTTTTATATGAAGGTATGTTAATATACAGTAAAATACCTAGCCATTCTTGATCATCAGGAAATGTCACAGGTATTAATAATATTGCAATTCTGAATGTAGCCTTTGTAGTGAAAAATTAATCAAAATCATTGATCATTCAGAAGTAATGCTAAATAATCAAATTCTCATATACAATATACAAGCTAAGTTTAAAATATCTAAACCAACACATATAATAATCCAATTATGTTAGGAAAACATAGGGTAATTACAAAGTTTTTCATTTCAGCAATCTAAGAAATATCACTGATAGTAGAAGAAAAACAGCTTTAAAAAAAACATATACAATTTACTAAAAATCTTCCTTATCTGTTTTAAAACAATACAAAAGATATAACCATATTAAAATTCAAAATTAAAAATATGTTACCTATAGCACTGCTGGTTAAGAACATCTACGAACTCCGATTCAAAGTCTTGATCACTGTACCAAGATCCACCTGTTAATGAGCTGTCAGGTTCAAGTTCATACAACATATACACTTTTTTCTTATTGGCCTGAATAAAATAGCAATTACTTTAAACAAGAACAAACATTTCTTTACAATAATTAAGTGTTATAAAAAGAACTTTATTTAAAACAGGAGGGACATTTTTAGTTAACTAAGTCGATATATCACAATGTATATTACGATGGATGAATTATTGAAGGAAGTAGGTCGACTATTTTACTTATCATGGGTGGTAGATAGCCAGGCCACAGTCAGTTTTTAAGATTTTTATTGCCAACGTTCATTAGATATAATTGGGAATTATATGGTCTGGACTTATCTCAGCAATAAAAGAAACTTTTTTTTACATCATTATCAATTAATTTAAATACTTTACATAAAGTAAACAATAATTATTCATTGTTTTATGATACATACCAACACACACAAAAAAAAAATCAATTTATGTAGCACAACAACAAATCAACTTCATCATACAACAATATTTACATAAATATAAAATAATTATAGTAATAACAATGTAATGCCTGATCCAACACCAACTATACTTTGGCCAAGTGAATAAAGGCCGTGCTCATCCTTCCACTCTATTACTGAGAGTGGGAGAACTCTTCCACTCTTCCATAGCTTTGATTCCAGTAACAGACCAAGGTATGACATAAAGGATAAAATAAACCTGTTCTAATTATTGTTTCTAATTATTTCCACTGATGTTAGTAAATTATGATTAGCACTTTACACTCTTTTTTTAATTGTACTGCATTCACTGGACAATATAAATAGTTTATCAAAAAATTGTAACTTAAAACTTTAAATTGATTGTTGGGACTGATAATAAAAACCAAGTTAGAGACGGTAATCTTGTATGCAAGCCATGAGCCCAGAGCAGCAACACCCTTTCTCACCATCCTCTGCCCACTAGCTGTGTCAAATCACTGCTATAACAGACCAATATGTAGGAGCAGAAAATAAGCCTGGTATCAGAAATAATTAAAAAAAAAAGGTGTAAACTTTTTTTAATCTATTATGATCATCATGAGTTTTGCTTCTCTGCCGAGGGGAGCTCGCTGCATGAGTAGTGAGACCAGTAAAAAGGGCAATAAAACAATAATTATTCAGTTTTTTTCTAAATAAATAAATAACTATTTTCTAGTCACATCCTTCAGGTTTGGTGTCATTTTCTCATAATTTTTTTATATTTATTTTATATATATATAAGTCCTGTATGAATGCCCTAGTGAGGAGCAACAATTTTCTTGATATCGTCTGCGAAAGAGAAATGAAAAAACGACATTCTTTGAAATAAAAGAATGACTAAAGGACGAATCATATTCATAGATTTTAAAAATTTTATGGCGCAGTGCATGGATCTTGAAAATGGCTCCTGAAGCTGAAACGTTGAATAAAGAATACAGGAGATAAAAAAACTGTATATTTGGTGACCTTTGGCCTAAAATATATATTAAAAAATTATAAATAACTATTGATCTAATCAAAGAAACTTTCTATAAAAAAAGTTTTAGAGCATTAATATTAATACACAAATATTACTGGGGTTAAAAGATTACTAACTCTTTCCAACTTGACCATTATTTATCAACTTTTACTTGTAAATTTGATTTTCATTGTAAATGTTGTAGAGCAGTTAATTCACTATTCAAAGTGTATTAATGTAAGAAAAGTAAATGCATAAGTTTTTTTTTTTTTCACAAAACCATTTTAATAAAAAAATAATTTGAAAACAAAAATAACAATTTAAATTAAACAACAACAGAATTATGTTGTAATAACGGACTAAAAATCTTTAATGAAAAATATAGTGAGGATAAGTATAAAAAACAAGACTATTATACTCAGATCATTACAAATTATTATAGAACATATACATATATAGATAGAACAGTACAGTTAAAACTTAATCCAATATTACTTGAATTTTCTAATCTTAGGTAAGCTTCCACAGTCACTATCCAAGCTGTCTACATTGCTTTGGAATGAAAGATTTGTAGTAGAAAGAACAGCACACTGTCACCCACCCACTTTTGAACAGCATACTACCACAACCTTACACTACAGACAGATGAAGCAAATAGTATACACCATAAGGACACACTTCCCTTAAGTATAGGAAAACAAAATAATAACTGCAATAGAGGAGCCTCAGTTATATGAAAAAGAGATATTGCTGATGAAATTAATGTGTATTGCAATATAAGCTTGGTACTTGTGAGCAACGTAGCCTCTATGGACTGCTGTCTGAAGTTATATTATATTATATATAATATAACTTCAGACAGCAGTCCATAGAGGCTGTGTTGCTCACAAGTACCAGTATATATATATATATATATATATTATATATTATATATATATATATATATATATATATATATAAAGACAACAACAAATATATTTATATTTCTTATTATATGAGAGTCTAATTTCATATGAAGATAGGGATTATCAGTGCCTTATAACAATTATCAGTTATAAACCTTTAATAATAAGAAATATAAATAACAACAAAAACACATTAAATAACAAGATAACTGCAGATAGCAGTCCATAGAGGCCGCATCGCTCACAAGTACCCTGAGGTTTACTGAAATCTCCTTCTTAAAATATTTGAAACCAGGAAAGAGTAAGATTAAAATATTCTGATTTCATGAAAAATCCTGTTTGTTCATTCGTTCAGCTGTTGTGACAAGGTGAAAACAAAAATTGTTAAATTGCTTTTGAAAAATGAGAACTATTAAGCATTATTCAGCTGTTGATGAGCCCAGTTGGCCAGATTAATGATTTTTAATCTCTTATTGCAACATAATTTTACTAGTTATTGTTTTTGTTTAAATTATTTTGTATAAACACACATTTGTAAAAAAAAAAAAAAATCTTGACTATTCATTCACCTGTATTCTACTTCATGTAATAATACTCTTAGCATGGAGAATTAAATAATCCACAATATTTTACCTGTTTCTTCAACCAGGTAATTATCACAGTAATTTATTTTTGAACAAATAACTACCCTTTTCTCATTAACATTTTTGACCACCACTAACACTCAGCAAATCTACATTTGATCTTAAATAAAAGGATTAAATAAGTTTTCTTATTAGTTTAGGTTTTGTGACCTACTTTCCGATGTCTTTCTACAAGCACATTTAAAAGAGAGGCCATTGGCCGTCAAAAGCATGTTTATGAATTATCATTTATTAATTAATTATTGTTTTGATTCAAATTGCTTTTAACAAAGTTGCAAATTTACTGTGAAATATTAACAATAATATAAAATAATATTAATCGTAAAAATTAAATTGATGATATTGACCTCAATAATTAAATTAATAGTACATTATAAAATAAAGGAAGGAGAGATAAAATAAAGGATCCAACATTTCGACCCGACTTTGCAGGTCTTCTTCAGGGAGGTGTGTTCAGCTAGGAGTTATACCTATAACTCTACTCGGAAACTCCTAGTTGAACACATCTCCCTGAAGAAGACCTGCAAAGTCGGGGCGAAACGTTGGTTTTTAATAAAATAGTTTTGCCACTATTTAGCCTATTTATGACTGCCACGCCGGACCATCTCCTTCCTTTATAACGGTCAACTATTAAATATTCTATATTATAAAATATTTTAACTTACAGCAACTGACTTCACATGCTTAATAATTTTCTTATTCTCCAAAGCTTTCAGGATTTTGTTCAAAACAGTAGGTTGAAGTTTTGATTCAAATCTGATATCCCTCATCCAGATTCCTTTGTTTCCAGCTTCTTTTATAAGCCCATAAACAATTTTTTCTTCAGTATCAGCTCCTTTTAAACCTTCTGGTGTATTTTCTGATTCTTCAGCTCGGATTTTGTAGATCAGTCTTCCACCAGCATTATAAACATCAATCAACCTCTGGCAAAAATAATAATTTAATACATTTAAAATAAAAATACCATTAAGATAAATTATAAGAAAAGAATCCATTTATGATTACACTGTTCTACATTGATATTGTATCTCACTAGAAAACAGCCTCATGCCATGTTTTTTAGTGTGAGGAATTCGAATTTTACTTAAAAATCATCAGTTACCTCTGGTTTCAAAGATATAGTTACTTTTTGAATAATATTGGGAAATTTTCTGCTCCAGGATTGGCAGGGTTGATTTCTGTCTGTGAATCACAGGAAACGATTAGCTGTGAATCACTGAACCATTTTGCTGACAGTTGTATGCAGTGTTGACATTTCAAGTTACTCTTGACGTGATTTTTCTAGCTTCAGGCATTCTTTCAACAATTTTGTAGTGATAACCCAGTAGTTTTGGTGAAGTTACAATGCCCAGAAAGTGTGTGAATGCTCCTGACAACTTTTGTTTCATTTCTGGGGATGCAACCTTTAAACAGCAGTAGTAGGGGAAGTAAGTCAAAAACGCCCTATCACCCAGATGATCAAGACAGCATACCACAAATATTTAGGGATGAAGATTGATGACCAAGATAAACTGTGGGCCCCACACATCAGCTGCATCACATGTAGTGTAACCTTAAGAGAATTATTTAATGAGAGAGGTCTTTTAATGCGTTTTGCTGTTCCCATAGTGTGGAGGGAGTCTATTAATCACGCTGACAACTGCTACTTTTGCATGATCCTGACAATTGCTACTTTTGCATGATTCTTCCTCTTCAACATGGAATGTCTCGAAAAAAGAAATCTGAAGTGAAGTGCCCCGACATTCCTTTTGCTATAAGACCAATACCACACAGGGACGAATTGCCTGTTCCAAGGCCTCCTGAACACTATGACTTGAATGAGGACGAGGTTAACAAAGAGGAAACCCCATCAGAAGATTATGATTTTTCTTTTGAACAAGAAGAACTAAAACTGCACTTGCTTACTCAAGCTGAACTCAGTGTCTTGATTTGGGACCTGGATCTGCCCAAAGAGAAAATAGAACTTGTGGGTTCAAGATTGAAGCAATGGAACTTCTTACAGCCTAGTATAAAGATTACAATGTACAGAAATCGTCAGAAAGACTTAATCCCCTTTTTCAAAAATTATGAGAACCTTGCTGCCTGTTGTGATGTTCCAGGTCTGATGACTGCAATAAATCTCAATCACAACCCTTCTGAATGGAGGCCGTTCAAAGATTCATCAAAACTATCCCTCAAGGCAATTCTGTTGCACAATGGCAATTTACTTCCCTCTATCCCTGTTTGTCATGTTGTACACATAAAGGAAACTTACCAAAACATGTAAACACTTCTAAAATCCATCAAATACCAGGACGATCAATGGCAAATCTGTGGAGACCTGAAAATGATGGGTGGCAATTCTTCTAGGCATGCAACAGGGATATACTAAGTACTGATGTTTATGTGAGTGGGACAGTCGGATCAGCATCTCATTAAATCAGAAAAGAATGGACTCAAAGAGAAGTCCTAACCACTGGGAAAAAAAAAGTCTATAATCATCTTGTCCTGAAAAAATCATCCTCCAATGCATAAAACGTTAGGGGCTATGAAAAATTTTGTCGATGGAATGGACCAATCAGGAGAGGCATTCCAGTACTTGAGAGGATGATTTCGCCACTTAAGTGAAGCCAAGGTTAAAGTGGATGTATTTGTTGGCCCACAAATCTGTGAGCTTCTTAATGATATGGAATTTTTTAATATTCTTCAGAGTAAAGAATGAGCAGTGTGGGGAGCATTATACAGCTTTAGATGATGGTTTCTTGAATGGTAAAAGAGAGGACAATTATGCTGTCTTAGTCCAAACCCTCCTTAAGAAGTACAGAGATCTCGGTTGTAACATGTCACTCAAGATTCACTCTCATTTGGACTTCTTTCCCTAACATTGTGGATCTGTAAGTGACAAACATGGTGAGCTATTTCACCAAGATACATCCTCGAAGGGATATATGAGAGGGAGGACAATGATATCAAGGTCAGTGGGATACTTCAATGCTCGCAGACTACTGTTGGAACATTGTGAGGGATTTGCCAGAACATCAGTACAATTGTCAAGCAAAGAAGAAACATTCTAAATAAACTGTACAACAGTGCTGTTCTTAACGAAAGAAGTTGTAATTTCATATTTTGTGGATTGTAAAAGTATTTCACAAATAACAAAGCACTTTTAAAGCCTAAAAAATGATCATGTAACTTCCAATAACGTAATTTTGTGTATTCGATACCGGATATACGTATCTGCAGAACGGTTGTTAATACGATACTATGAGGATTCTGACAGAAAATTCGAGTTTTTCACACCAAAATTAGTCAAGAGAAACAGTTTTTATCGAAGATACACGAAAAAATTTTTTTGTAGGGTAGTGTTATCAGAAAAGAATCCATTTATGATTATGAATCAAATTAAAAAAAAAAAAAAAAATTAAATAAGTCATAAGTAAAACAAATAAATATATAAAAAAGAAAAACATTCATACTTAATATATAAAGAAGAAAAACATTCATACTTAATTTACAATATTTACAATCAGCCAAGGGAGCTTCGAGTCCAGCCCTTTCCTCCACGTGTGAAGGACAAAGCGAGACTCTAAGAGATCTCAGCTCTTCTCTCTCAGCCGCGACACCGGCAAGAGTCCAGTGGAAACTGAGAGAGGGCACTAAAGCAACAGACGCTCATGACATGATTGGAGAGGCTGGCCATTGCCCGAACTCCAGTGACAGTCTTTACAAAAGGTCTGCCGTTTCAACCTTCGTGGAGGGTTGTAGGGCTGACTGGAACTGGATAAGGATTAAGGAGTTAGGATGGTGGATTAGGTTCAGATGAAAATTTGAGAATCGAGATGGAATAACGTCAAGGACATAAGGGATATAAAGGTCATGATGTAGGGTTTTGTTTGTAACATAATAAGGAGCATTGACTATTATATGGAGGACATTAGACTGAAAGGATTGGATGCGTTTGATGTTCGAAAATTTAGTTGTCCCCCACAGTTCAAGTCCAGATGGGTTTGAGTATGGTCTTGTATATTAATAGTTTGTTTTCTATTGAGAGATTGGATTTTCTGTTAAGTAGTCTGTATAGCTGGCCAAATAGTCGGTTAAGTTCTTGTCTTTTAAGTCTGGTATGTGGGTTCCAAGTTATTCTTGTGTCTATAAGGAATCCAAGATACTGAACTGTGTCTGAGACGGGGAGAGGTACAGAGTTGAAAAGGATATGTGGACAGGATCTGCGTCGGAGGGTAAAGGTGACATGTTTGTATTTGGATTCATTTATCTTAATGCGCCTATTGTTGCACCATTGCTCAATCAGGGAGATGTGTCTTTGTAGGTTTAAGGATGCTGTTTCAGGATCTGAGTGGGATGACAGGATGGCGGTATCGTCAGCGAAGGTTGCTGGGTATCGGTATCGGGGTTGGTTGGAATGTCAGCGGTGAAGAGGATAAAGAGAACTGGGCCCAAGACACTGCCTTGTGGAACACCAGCTTCAATCGGATAATAGTTGGAGAATTCAGTGCCGCAGCGGACTTGAAAGGAACGATTTGAGAGGTAAATTTGAGATTAGATAAGCACTTTTGATCAGACAATAGATATAGATGAGATTTGAACTAAATTGCCAGAATTCAGTTCAAATCTCAACAGGAACACAATACATTAAAGATGCAGTATAGGACTTCAAGGGAAGTCATGGGCCGATAAAGAAAAAAAAAAATTAAAGTTAAATTGGTAACAATACACAGCATAGACAGAGAAATGAAATTAAATGTTATACTGATAGTTCTGATTACTCAAGATTGAGAAGAAAGAATGTGGAGGATTGATAAACCAGTGGTGAGTTTAATCTATTACACTAGTTAGGTATACTTCAGCCTGTCATTCTTTAGTTTTAGATATTATTATTTACACTTAATTAATAATTAATGAATGGTTGAGTGGTAAAATAGGTAATTTAACACTGACTACCAGCCAATGGCACAATAAGTGTGATCATTCAGGAGGAATAAAAACAACTTCCTAAATATGAGAAATGTAATGAAGTATCATGTCTATAAATAGTTGGTAACCTAAAAAGTGATCCAGTAGAATTTCAAAGTTCGTTTGAACTCTCACTGTTGGGCATATAATTGTTTGGTTGGAGCAAGCGACATCCTTAAATGCCAGCAGTTGACAAATAGCTCCAATGCTCAAATCAGAGCTCGAAATTGCTGTTAATAATTCAAGTAACTATGTTTCTTTCTCACTGGATTAAATTAGCATCCACCAACTTAATATTACTTACCATTACATACAAAAAACAGCCATGATTAAACATTAAAAAAATTAGATAAACAATGCTTATACAAGGTATAAAATACCCTTCCAGATATTTGAAGACTAAACTTTTTCATTTGTTGCATTTTTCATATTCTTTAAAGTAATGTTTAACAAATCTTGTAGTAAGCAGATTTTTTTTAAAATGTTTCAGAAAGCACCAATAAAATTTCTGGACAAAAATTTCTCTAACCATACGAAAATAGTTAGGAATTAAATGATAAGACTTACACAGGTTTGAATAACGATATAGCCATTCACAAACAAAATTAGTGTGTATTAGAAAAATGCTAAGAAAATTTTTTTTTTTTGAGAAATATGTCATGGCTGAGGCAAATCTTTTAGATTTTTACTTGATACTAATAATTTCAATGTTTTAGTTATATTAATGATTTTTAAATTTGAATATGAAGGGTAATAAACTTGGACAGCAAGAAAAACGAGGGGTTAAAGACTAAAAAATCTTGGAATTGTGAAGTATAGTTCTTTGAATAAAAGAGGGGTGGTGATTGAAAAGGTAAAGAAATGGGCCATGATGAACATTCATGGATTAAGTTTTATTAAGATGGTATTAATCTACTTAAACACAGGAAGAGAATACTATTAATTGAAAATGATTACAGATATTTAAAGGGTGAAAAGAATAAGATGGCAGGCATTCAGCTCTAGAGAAAAAACATGCATTTATTAAGATGGCCACTAATGACCACTTCACTCCACCCACTCCAAGAAAAATGCAGCATGGAACGATCATGAGTGTAAAAACTGTGAGAATAATGTGGAGCAGCTGGAATTTCATCAGCCTGTAGCTCTAGCAAAATCCAAAACCTCCAATCCACCATGAGACTGGAAAAACTGGAGGAAATAATTCGATGGACTGTACAGTTTTTAATATTCAATATTAATAGACAATATTGGTTATTTAAAGTATAATCACAGAAAATACAGATTAAGATTAACTGTGATTTTGTTTTACTATAATCATGTTAAAAGCATAAATATTAAATAAAAAAAAATGTTTTTTGGGGATTTATAATTTAAAATAGGAGCAACCCTAAGATTTTAATTATCTTCTTATTCGGCGTTACAACCCACTAGTTGAGTCCTAGCCTTCTCAAGCTTAGACTGCCAGTCCTCCCTGTTCCTTGCTGCTGCCTTCCAGTTCATAACACCGAGTAGAGATCTCGCATCTGCAGCCACGCAGTCTTCCCAGCGAAGTCTGGGGCGTCCAACCCACCTTGCACCATACATTTGCCCAGCTAAGATCTTGTAAGGAACTTCGTTTGGATCCATCCTTATGACATGACCAGTACAGTGAAGTCTTGATACCTTTACGAATGCTGATACGTCTATTTTTTTGTACCTCGCTCTTAATTCAGCATTCGTTCTTCTTCTCCATGCACCTCCCTCATATATACGGCGAAGCACTTTTCTTTCAAAATGGAGAAGGAGATGCTGACGGAGATTCTTACATTCTGAGCCGTATGTAAGAACTGGTAGTATAATTGTCTTATAAATTCTCACTTTCGAGGCCTTCGACAACAAATTACTTCATTATAAAAGATTTCAATTATATATTTTTAAACTATTGTAAAGGACTAAATTAATAATTATATTTTATACATTGAAATATTTGTAGATTCTAAATATAAAGACATGATCTATGACTTTTCACATTTCTATACAAAAAAGGGTGACAAAAATTATCAATTATATTTCAAGAAAATTTAAAAAATAAAATTGTTACATCCACCCTTGACTGTTAATTCAATTTTTTTAATATTCTGAGATAATGTTTTATAAAGCCTGAAATCATAGAAATTATGAGAGATTGTCTTGAAAATTTAATAATGATCCACATAAACTTTGACCGAGCACTCAAGAGGTTCCAATTTATCATTTGTTTATTTTCATCTGACAAAAGCATCATTGGCTGACTTTAGGTACAACAATTTTATCTTTAATAAAAACATATACATGCATAATAAGCAACTACAGATGAACTGGCAATATCGATACTTAACATCAAAAAATGTTTAGGTAAATAGTGAGTTATACTTAAATGTTTTTAGTAGTAAGTCTTCGAAACATAAGTACACAATAAAAAAACAATTTTATATTATAGAATCATCTAGTCTGAGTTATCAAATATTCCTTTCTAACTAACGTTTTCCAAATAATAAGTAGCATGTAAGAAAACATTTTCATTTCTCACCTTAGTAATTAGTTTGTTGATAATTTGCACTCTTTGTTCATTACTTAAATTAGTAACCTGTTTTTCTAAATCATCATCAAAACAACCCTTAGTACCACCAGCAACAACTAAGGATAGAATTCTGAAAAAAAAATAATTGGGGGATTAAAATAAACAGAAATCAAAATTCAACCATTCATAATAATACAAAAATGAAATTGGCAGTACATTTGTTCATTAGGATCAGATTGAGCAGACGTAGATGCTTTAGCTTTATTATCCACTTTAGCCCTAGGCATTTTTCACAAATTCAGTCCCTTAAAAGAAAAATACGCACTTAACACAACAATAGAGGAAGGTTACACCTTATTTGTCAAAGAGCCTTTATTAGTTAGCTGACCTTTCACGATCAGTCATGAACTAGTCAGTTACTACAATCTTGATCTAGTACATAGGCTTAAAACTTTTGAAGTACAAAGTGATCTCGGTGATATTATAAATTAGAAGCTTTATTCTCCAAATAAAGTTTTGCATTCTTAATAAATTTGTACGTCATTAGTAAACTAATATCATACTATCATACTTTTAATTTTATAAGTATTTTTACTATGTTGTATCGGATCAGTTTTGTGAAATCTTCCCATCTGTCTACCCCTCCGGCGCTTATCGGTAGGTATAGCGCATATTACTAACGTTTTAGGGATTTTTTCATTACTTAGCGCAACAATTTTATATGCCCGTTTTATTCACCACTTTGTAATAACCTCAATTACATTAAGATAGATCACGCAATTCGTCCTAAGATTGTGATCGCCAAGCATCTTAAAGCGTAAACTTTAGTCTAGCGATGCCGCACAATGGAACAAGTTAGGGAAAACTCGGGACATCGGCTATTTTTTTTTTTTTTTATAACTCCAAAAAAAAAGATAAACTGTTTTATTAGTACGTTTTGGAATTTGTGAGAATGTTTTCAGTTAGCAGAAAATACACTTTTCACTGCTTTTATTCAATAGTTCAATTGAAAACGTAATTTTGTGAAATTTCGTTTGATTTGTAAATTGCTTGGTTCAAGCAGTGATTGATATTGTTTTTTTAATTTTATCATCTTTTTACTGTCATTCTGTTTAACTAGAAAAAATATATAATAATGTGTAAATTTTTTTTTACTTCGAATATTATTTATTTTTTGTTAACTAAAATAATTTTCAAATCAAATTTTTACAAAGTCTACGATTTAAAAAAAGCTCAGATATGCTCCGGAAATTAGATTTTTCTTTTACTTTTTAGGAGTAATTATTAAACAGAAATTTATACTAATTTTAACCGCCACGATCCGCCTAAAGGTAGTTAGAAATATTTAAAATTATTTTTGTCTGAATGTCAGAGCAATTTATGGTTGTATACTAATCTCCTCCATAACTGGACATTCTTTCAAATTTGGGTTTAACAAAATACATGGATTTAAGGAAATAAGTATCTGTAGTTATTTGTTTCGAAAAACAACTCAAGCCAAAATAAGAAAAAAATATATATTAATATTAAATCTTCATTTTCATTGTTTAAATTTTTTATTTATTCTACTAGCCCAGTCAAATTAACACAAAAAAAAATGGGTCTACCTTACAAAAGGTCGGGTTCAATTTTTCAATTTTTTTTTATATTGTTAGGTATGTAGTGAATATAAAAAACCCAAGTGTCTACCCTTAAAAGCCTTTTGGGTTCGCTTATAGCCTTGGGGTTGGTTTATAGTGCTCCAAAACCATTGACATTTTGAATATTTTTTTGGTTTATGCTAAATATTTTCTTTTCAAAATGAGATAGATTTAATTTAATTTTAACTTTTTTCCACTTATTTTAATGGAATTGGTCATCAACAATTAATGCTTTTCTTGTACATAATTCACTACTCATAAATGGCATAGTCATAGTGTTATACAAGAATATAAGAAAAATAAAATTAGACATGTTACCTTGCAAGAGGTCGGTTAATTCAAATTTTTTTTTATATTGTTAGGTACGTAGTGAAAATAAAAATTCCAAGTTTTCTCCCTTGAAAGTCTAATGGGTTCACTGTTCTCCAAAAACTTTTTTGGTTTTTAATTCGCTAAATTTTAGAGTGACATCGATAAAAATCTGGTTCGCGCATCACAAGACTTTCACTTACTTCCTTCTTAGCAAAAATAAGTATTTTCAGACAAAGGTTAACTAAAGTAAGAATTATAAACGATATATCCATTTATATTTCATTGAGGGTATTTTTATTTGTTTAATTACCATTATATTTACAATTTTAATTTTTATATCCCTGTAATCTATACTATTAAATATTACATAATACCAACGATAGCATTTATGAAAACCATATAATTAAACGTAAATAATATTAGTCCGTATTAAATTATGGTCCGGGAGTTCGTGACAAGAAAGGTGTCACATTTCATACTAAGCTTTGTCCTCATAAATTGATCATATCCACAGGTCTAATGAGAAAAATGCACGTCTGCCAGCATATCGCTGCTAGAATATAAAATGGCGGCCATGTGAAGGTAGAGACCCTACATTGGCTGTAAGCGTATATGTAGAGAGAGCTTATCTATAAACTTCAATTTATAGTATTTAGTCATACGTTTTATGACATTAAATAATAGTCAAATGCCCCATACCCGTGGATTTCAATTCGAAAAATTGTATTTACGATTCAAAAAGTTTACTTTTTAAGGTTTTTCGCTTATATAAGTGAAACTATGATAATGTAATATATACAATTAAAACTAATATAAATTATGCAATAGAAATGGTTATATTAGTTTTTTGCTTTATTCTATAGTGTCCGTGATATCCGTCTTCGTAATTCACTAATTTCGGGAAAAAAAGAAGACGACATTCACGTGCTTACAATGGCTTGCATAATATACATGTATATATTACAGATTAAGTACTGTGTAACATCGAAAATTGCAAAAGTAAGTTTTTCTGTATAGTTTCGGAGTTTAATCATTAAGTTATTCTATTGCTCTAGCCTTTGAATTGTTGAAGATATGATAGTAAAGTAATATACACTCTTAACGAAAATTTAATATTAAACTTTCTTCCTTGTGACTTTTTCGTAAAATGAAAAGATGAAGAGTTAGTTGGTGAGTCAAATAATGATAAAAATGCGATGCAAAAATTTTTTTTCCTATAAATTAGTGAATAACCATTTCTATTGCACATTTTGCCAGCTTTAATTTCAAAATATCACGTTATTATATACATTGTTGCACTTAGACACTCGGCGCCCCTCAGCAAAGACATCATCTCCCCCTCCTAAAAAAATCAAATTTATTTCTTAAACAGTTTTATATTATGCAATATTTGAATTTTATTGCATTCAAAATTTCTCTAATGCATTTGCTTTATTGTTGGCTAAAATTGGTTATTTTAAAACGTTTTGTAATTTTACTTTTATTTCTTAAATATGGCGAGCGTTCTGAAGATCGGTCGGCATGAAGTAACTGTCTGTTATTTCATGTCTGAATACTGCAAATACTTTAAATTAAAAGAGTTGGTAGCTTCATATATCTATAATCTAATATACCCGGACAACCTATATAGGGTCTCTTCTATCTTCACATGGCTGCCATATTGTATTCCAGCAGCTATATACAGGGGGTCGTGCATATTTCTCATCGGGTCTGAAATCAATTTATAAGAACAAACCTTAGTATGAAATATGACATTTTTTTTCTCACCGTTTCCTGGACTATTAAGCCCACCTTATGTAATAGAAGCATGTTTTAATCTTTCAGACCCACTCCGATTCCTTTGGTTCCTCCATTACAACTATTATTCGTTCGTTACAATCTCTTATTTCTCCTTAAATTAACTATCAAATTCTTTTATATATATATTTTTTATTTATTGATGATATTTACAACTGTATTACAAGTAAAAATACATTCAGTAAATGTGAACAAAAGAATATAATAGCATGAAATCATTTGTTGAGAAACTGCCCACAGGTAGCACTCTAAAAATGTATTTACAAAAAGAGATCTCGAGGCCATCTTCTTTTCAGACACCTCGGAGGGTTGTCAGGGATCGACAACAACCCAAAAGGAAGCAAGGTTAGAAACGAGAGGGTTAGGATGGTTGTGAAGTTTGTTATGGAAGGAAAGTTATCTGGATTGGGCCAGGTCAGAAACATACGGAACATTAAGGTCGTTATGGATGATTTTGTTTGTGACGAAGTAAGGAGCTGTGAGGATTTTACGAAGGATTTTGGATTGTAAGGATTGGATACGAGAGGAATTCGATGGCTTAGTGGAGCCCCAGAGCTCAATTCCGTAAGTCCAAATAGGTCTTATTGTAGTCATGTATATGAGTCTTTTGTAATTGACTGGGAGTTTAGAGCGTTTGTCTAGTAAGTGCTGGAGTAGTCGGAAACGTCGAGCTGATTCTTGTCGTTTCAGTCTGGTATGAGGATTCTGAGTTAGACGTTTGTCTAAGTGGAGTCCAAGGTATCGAATTTGTTCAACAGGGATAAGTGGGGTATTATTAAAGGATACTGTAGGACAAGAGGACATAGGTTTACGACGAAGGGTAAAGGTAATTTGATGGGATTTATTGGAATTTATTTTGATCCTCCAGTTTTGAAACCATTCTTCAAGGTTTGTGATGTGTGATTGAAGGGTTTGGGATGCAATGGTTGGGTCATTATTAATTGATAGGACACATGTATCATCGGCATACGTGGTAATGACAGTGTTAGGATGGGTTGGGATATCAGCTGTATAAACTGTGTAAAGGATAGGACCTAGGATACTACCTTGAGGAACACCAGCGGACTGAGAAAAAAGGGATGAATAGGCATTATTATGATTTACTTTGAAGGATCTATCAGTTAGATAGGAACGGATAATGAGGAAGTATGTAGGGTGTAGGAATTTACGGAGTTTGTAAAGCAGTCCTGGGTGCCAGACTCGATCAAAAGCCTGTTCTACATCGAGAAAGACTCCCGTGCAGTACATTCCGCGCTCCAATGCAGAGGAGACAACATCCACCACACGATGGCATTGCTGGATAGTGGAATGGGATCTGCGGAATCCAAATTGATGATCTGGGATAATGCGATTAGAATCTAGGATGGGGTACAGGCGTTTTAGGATGAGCTTTTCCAGGATTTTGCCTAGGATGGGTAAAAGGGAGATAGAGCGATAGGAGGATGGGTTTTCTGGGTTTATGTATAATTTTGATAATAGATAATTTCCAAGGGTCAGGATAGTATGTGGATCGCAGAACAACATTATATATATATATATGTAAGGAATAGGATGGCTTTCCGAGGAAGCAGTTTTAGGATCTGGGATGTAATTAGGTAGTGTCCAGGAGCTTTTCGGGAAGATAACCTTTGAATGAT